GAAAATATTAAAAGTAGTTGAAATATCAGTTAAAGAAATCAGAAAATATACACTTAGCTTAGAGTTTAAAAGTCTAAAATCCTTTTTGGGAGGTCTAGACAAAATTAAAACATTAGTGTATAACTGCTAATTTTAGGTTTTATATAGCTGTAACCTGGATAGTAATGATTCTTTATAGAGTGTAAATAGATTTTAATTTGGCTGAACAAATGTCCCAGCTCCTAGTATAGCTTGTGTCCTCTTGGCTGATGCAATAAAGAAAGGCTTCTTCTTGTATTTGGTTCTGAGGTTGGCAGAGCACACATGAAGCCTTGGAAAGATGGCGTCAGCTTTAGAGGAATTTGCTTTGCTGTCTGTAGGGTCGAACCCGTCGACCCCTGACTAATCTCCCTGAATCAAAACTTAACTTTAGTTACTGTCTCAAGCCTTTATTATTTTCTGTAACTTCTGAAAAATAATTGATTCTGTGGGGAAATCCAGAGGATGAAAAGCATGTGTTAATATTTTAATGTGAGCAGACATTCAGTTGTGAAAAGGGATTTAAAATGAGCTGTAAAATAAGTTGATAATCATGCTTTTCGTATCCATTACTATTTTTCTCTCAGTTGCGACTGCTGCATTAACAAATGTTGAAACACATAAAACATATCATTACAACAGGTGGAAATGGCTGTTCTGAAGCATCAGCATTAAGCACCCAGCTTCATGACCTGCCCCTGCTCCATAGAGCACCTAAGAGGTTTAGCCTCAATGGAAGTGACGTATTTTGCCGTGTTATCCAATCAGGGATCTACTTTCTCGCTGCTTACTTCGAGAGGCCGAGGCTCAAACTTCAGGGTATTCTAATTGAGACTGACTGGTAGTGTCCTGCATATCCAGAGTGGAGGGGAGATTGCATCTGAGAGTGGAGTAAATAGCTGATTAATGAGCAACATACTCATGAAATCAGGTGTATTTCAGCAAATATTTAATGCAGTTTAATGACGACATTTTTTAAGTTTTAAAATGCATATTTGACCAATAATAAGACGTTTACAGGGGAGGTTAAGCCTCCCAACTATTAAATGTGAAATCGCCACTGATTTATCTGTAATATAATTTAAAAAAAATCCAGCTTTAAAATGCGTGGTCCATGGCTGTAGTTCTGTGTTATCTTTCTTAGCATTGACTCTCCTCTGATCCCCGACATGATTTGCAAAGCATCTCTGAAAAATATTCTTCCTAAATCAAATCCAGTTCTTATTTCCTTTATTTTACTCCCAATATTCCAATGGTGTGTTTTATTGCTCTAAACTGCTAAATGTTTGGGAATAATGGAAAGATATGTCAAAAGTTCAGTCCTGAAAGAGAATAAAAGGAAATCAGAAGTCCATCCATCCATTCGTCTTCTTCTGCTTATCTGGGGTCGGGTCGTGGGGGTAGCAGCTTCAAGCAGGGAGGCCCAGACGTCCCTCTCCCTAGCCACTTGGGCCAGCTCCTCCGGGGAAATCCCAAGGCGCTACCAGGCCAGCCGAAAAACATAGTCCCTCCAGCGTGTCCTGGGTCTCCCCCTGGGCCTCCTCCCAGTGGGACGTACCTGGAACACCTCTCCAGGGAGACGTCCAGGAGGCATCCTAATCAGATGCCCAAGCCACCTCAACTGGCTCCTCTCGATGTGGAGGAGCAGCGGCTCTACCCCGAGTCCTACCCGGACGACTGAGCTCCTCATCCTATCTCTAAGGGAGAGCCCAGACACACTACGGAGAAAACTCATTACAGCCGCTTGTATCCTGTCAGGAAATCAGAAGTTATTGAGGAAAACGATAGTGATGAAAATGTCTTCCATTGAGAAACTCAATCAAACAATCGTTTATGCGCTTACAACATGTTGCATTCAAAGCAACCTGATCAGAGTGTTTTGTAATGATGCTCAGTGTGTGAAAGGTGAGTGTTTGTTTGCACGTTCATCAGAAGGAGCAGATGAGTAATTCAGAGGGGGTTTCTTGGATCTCTGAGTTAGTTTTTCACTTCAAGCATCCGGTGGCTTGTGGAAGTGTGGAATTAAAACACTAATAGCTAAAAATACTTCCTAAGACTTTCAGGTTATTCTAGTAACTGTTTCCATGGAAACATAGGCTCTAAGGTTTGTTGTGTCCTTGTCCCAGTGTTACTTCTAACATTCCCCAGCAAACACAAACAACCAGGAATGCACGGTTTTCTTCCAGAGGCGAAGAGCAGCAGGCGTCTTCTTGGTTACTCCTCTCTGGGGTCACTTCCTGCAGACATGAAGCCTGCTGGAGTTCAGCTTCTCTATTGTTCAAGTTTGTGCAACACAGGGAAGTCGAGGTGCGTCAGAAGGAGTTCAGAGCAGGCAGCTGAACTTTGGCCAAGTAAAGCAGTGCAGGGGAGGTGTCAGACAGGTGGTGTATGTGAAAAGGAAAGAGACAAGAGCAGGGAGGTGGAGAATGACTGGATAGGTTTTATCTAAACATATCCAGTTTTATCTAGATTAATGAAACTCCTTACACTTCTTCATAACCCTCAAAACAGCTGCGGCTAATTTATTTTCATTATAATAATTATTACTGTTTCATACGTGTTTTTTATTCAGTGTATATTCTGCTTCCAGCATTAACTCTGCATTTTCAGATAATTGTTATTATTAGTAGTATTGTTGCTAAATAGTGCATTTTTTTTTCTTCTACAGTTTTTGACCAAAAACCCAGCGCGGCGTCTCGGCTGCGTAGAGTCAGACGGTGGCGAGAAGGCAGTGATCAGCCACTCCTTCTTCACTTCCATCGACTGGGAAAAACTAGAACGCAGAGAAATAGAGCCACCCTTCAAGCCAAGGATTGTAAGTCACAAAAGTAACTTCACTGGTACCTTTAACCAGATACTACAAACACTGTTACACTATATACACCCTTTATTTTCTTATATTGACATATTTGGTCAGGTAGGATTACGAGAAAATCCATTTCTAGGTAATACCAGGATATTGATAAGTGTTTCGTTTTTTAAAATCTTTTTTCAATCAAGTTTAAAAAGGATTTATTTACAGTGGCCTTTGACTGTTAACTGAACACAGTTCAATTTTCAGTCATTATTTGGTCTCTCTTTCATATTACAATCTTATTTGAATTATTAAGTTCAAAACTTTCCAAAAAAGTTAAAAAAAAGAACAATCCACTGGACTTTGTTTCAAAGTTTAAGACATTTCGCTTCCCGTTCAGGAAGCCTTTTCAATTCAAAATGTCAGAAAAAGCGTTGAGTTTGAGGCTTTATAGAGTGGACCGAAAACAAAGCCTTTTTTTTTTGGCTTAGAAAACATGCAAACATGATAGCGGGAAGGAACCAGCTCTATTGCTGAGTTTTACCTCTATCATCACAACCCCCATCCCCATACAGGGGAACAGAAAACCTCACCTGTTCAGCCAGGCCAACAATTCCCTGTAACGACCCCCTTTCAGAGACATAGACAGGTATTGGGTATCGCAGGCTAACAAGGAACCCGAAAGACTGCCCATTCCTAAGGGGCGGACCCGTTTGTCTGGTTCAATCTGCATGTTTTCTAAGCCAAAACAAGGCGGCTGTGTTTTTTTTCCACTCTAAAAAGCCTGGAACTCAACGCTATTTCTGACATTTTGGATTGAAAAATCTTTCTGAATGGAAACGAACTTGAAAACAAAGTCCAGTAGATTGTTTTTTTTAAAACTTTTTTTTTTTTAATGACTATGACCTGGATGACTGAGAAACTTCACCAGCATCATTTCTAAACTCTTCTATTTATGTGTGTTGCCTTTTTGCCACAGCACTGGACTTTTCTTTCTATTTATGTGCAGCATTTTGAACTGTTGTGCTATAAGATAACTTTCTTTAAGTCTAATTTACTGTCAGGCAGTGAGAAGAATGTTTAAACTTTTTACAGTTGAAGTAGAATTCCTGTACAAAGAAGACTTTGTATGATTCGTGTTTTATCCTAACATTTTATTTCTCTTTTCATTCCCCAGAAAACACCTGAGGATGTGAACAACTTTGACCCAGATTTCACGCAGGAGGAGCCCACCCTCACACCCATCGATGACCCCATGATCCCTTCCATCAACCAGGAGGAGTTTAGAAACTTTTCCTTCACTTCACCAGATCTACTGGTGATCTGATTGGCTCCCCTATCCTCCAATCCTGTACTTTGCCCCCACTTTTTCCCTGCCTGTGTCTGCAGCTATTCCTTGTACTTGGTCTTTGCTCATCGCCCAGAAATGTGGGCAAATGTGTGTGAAGAGGAAGCAGATTCTGAAAGCCTTTGACAATTCAGCAAGAAACCAGATGTAACTGAACTCCTATGCACTGATGGGATCCTGGACATCTCCGATTGAGACTTTTTCTTGGTTTTTACTGTCAGGTGCCTTTATTGGCCATTCAAGTGTCTACAGGATGTATTTGAGATGCTGTTGCATTGAAACAATTACTTCCGTTCAAGTCTTCAAATGAAATGCACTTTTAAAAAAACCCAAAACATTCATTTTCACTGTGTCCAATTTTTGCTGAACAGAAACACACGAGTCAGAAAACAGAAAGCCAGTTTCACACAAATCCTCCAGATTCCAGGAAAAGTCAGAATACCAGTTAAATCCTGGAAAGACTGACTGAAGCGGATGAAATAGTTTTTCAGTGATGCATCCCCCTTCTGGAAAAACACACAGACTGGAGCACACTGTTTGAATTAGTTTCCCAATATGTTTAAAAACCTTAGATTTCGGATGAAGCTAGAAACACAGCTGCTCTCTGAGATGTTTTACTGATTAAAGCTTACAGAACAGGTTCAATAGGCTGGACCCAGCCGGGTACAGATAATAGGCAGTGTGTTTTATTTATTTGGGTCACACCTCATCCAAAAGCTCCCCTTCTGTCTCTGACACGCTCTGTAATTTGATCAGCCGGGCATGTTGAATATGATGCAACATTTCGCCTGCCGACTCAGGCTGATGGTGAAATATCCAAAACTCTGTGGGTTTCACCATGCAGCAGCGGAGCAAAGAGAGAGTGAAAACAGTCGGTGGGATCTTGGCTGACTGAAAGGAGTCCTGGACCTTGCGTACAGTCATTTTGTCACTCCATTTACACGCTCTCTGCCTCTGCAAACACAGCTTGGGAAAGCTTCCCGCTCGTTGGGCAGACCTCATGTTGGTAAAAATCCAAGAAATTCACAAAGGAAAAAAACTGTAGCTTAACATTTTGGTTCTGTTAGTGGAATAAAGAGCAAACAAACTGAGGGAGGAAACTCCATTACCCTGGTGCTAACTGATCCTCCTGTGTGCCCTTCAATTTAGCTTTATTTATTTTTATTGCAAACCATTATAAACAGGAAACCACACATAGTGTCACAGCTGTCGCCTTAAATCCAGACAGGAAGAGAAGAGCAACAAAGTAATTACCAGGCCTTTCTGTGCTGCTGGGTATTTATAAGGCCCTCTATGCTGATGACAGGAAGCCTGAGGTGAACTCCTGCCTTAAACTGAGCAGACATGATCAAACCTGGGCGTCCAGGACACAGGCTTCTCTTGCTGGTGAAAGGGAAGTCTGGAGGCTCTACATGTGTTAGTCTCCTCAGCCTCACGCTCTGTGAAGGATGACCAACTGGCAGCTTGGGGTGGAAAAATGTCTCCTTGCATCCTGAGCTTCAAAACAGATGGTCATTCCCACTCCAATTCAAATCTGAAATTAATACAAAGTCTTATAAATAACTGTGTTCTTTTAGCCTACTGTGCGCTGAGGCCCCAAATTGGGGCTTATTGCCTCTTTCTGCTAATAACTAGTGCCAACCTTAGCAGCCAGAATCCTTATCAGACATATATAGATAACAGTGAGCCTTTTCCAACACTTTGCATTATAACTTGAATTCAGCCATCTTAGTTTAAGCGTAAGAAGTCTGATTAATCCAGTTGAACATTCTTCTAATGATCTGCAACTGCCGTCTTGTAGAGTGTTTATGTTGCAAAAAAAAAAAAAAAAAGCCTCCTAGGTTTTCTTTCTTGACTCGCTTGTTTGGCAGCTTCCTCAGGTTACGTTTAATAACTATTCTTTGTCACTTTGGCAGTTTTACTCAGCTGAAGGTTTATTGGATAAACCCCTAAAGCAGTTTGTTTTCTACTGAGAAAGAGAAATAAACTGAGCAGCAGTTGAATAAAATGTCTTGTCGATGTTTGGGGATAAAAAGGACACCAGATGGAGAAGATAGAAGGACAACTGGAGCTGAAACAACTCGTCTAAATCATGATACGCAGAAGAACATCGCTATAGAAACGCCTCTAATGTAAAACACCTTAAAAACCTAAAACACTTTAACCAAGGGAACAACTCCTACAGAAACAACAGTTGGACTGAGACCATTTTGTGTCTTAAGTTAAGCTGGATTCACTCTGTTATACATGATGTGGGGAACATTATGTTTCTTTCTGACAATCAAGTAACATTTAATGACTAAATCCTTCCTTAGGATTGCTGCTGACCTTGTTTTCTTCCTCAGTCTCAACCTGATTTCTCGACAATGAGTTCACTGTACTCCGATGGCCTCTGCAGTCTCCAGATCCCAATTCATTAAAGCACTTCTGGGATTTGGAGATTCTTTTAATTGATTCTTTAACATAAGAAATGGAGCAAAACTGTGAAGGAATAGTTCCAACAGGTTTCTAATGTGTGCAGCGAGGCTTTAATGGAGCTCTCACTAAAATACAGGTCAAATCTGAAGCCAGCATAATGTAGTAAAACAGCCAGTGGAAAAACAATATCTTTTATATTTTTCACCCTTTGTACTTGTTGTGAAATCACGCAGAGCATGCTGGTGCATTGCTGTTTGAGATGCAAACAATTGTTTCATTATTACGGCAACAAAGCAGTTCTTCATTTAAGCACCTCCCTCTCAAATATGTGTTAAAGGTGATAAAACATTTACAGGAACAAGTTCTCCCATGAATCAAAACAACAGGTGGTCTCCTCTTTGTTTGATAATGTTGAGACCTTGCTGCGGCTTTATCTGACTGGGATCAGATTCTCTGCAGCACGGGAGAGGCTTTGGTTTCAACCTCATAGTCCCTGAAGCACAACATTTATTAGCATCATAAAATGGATCATTAGCATCTCTATGAAAAGTTAACACTGACTTGTAACTTCTGGAATCTGAGTCAAATAGCCAGCTTGGCAAAATCTCCATAGTAATTATCAAACCTGCACCAGCTGCTCTATTCCAATAAAGGACTTCATACAGAAAACTGATTGTAAAATGTAGATTTTTTCCAATTGGTTTAAGTATCACTAGGTTGATACTTGATATGTTTTGATAAATAATTCACAAACAAAAAGAGGTTATGATTCAAATGCAAGTCCAGCTCTGCAGTTTTCTTAAAAAAGATTCCTCTTATTCATTAAAAGAATACAGAAAGGGTTTTTGCTTTATTAAAGAGTGATTCTGGCTGTGACTTACTCCTGCTGATCAATTTTAACTTGAATTTTTCTGTTTTAACAACAACTGAACCTGAAAATCCCAGAACCGTGAAAAAATTGGCAGTATGGGGCCCGATGAGCTTAATTTATACAGGACAGGATGACAATGTTTCACACAAACAATATCCAATTTTAGGCTAATTTATTTATTGACTTTTGTTTGAGCTTGGAAAAATATTTTAGGGACACATGACCTTTTTCTAATGAGTTTAGACTGAGATCAGCCCCTCCTGTTGTAAAGTTTTCTAAAACTAAAACGCATAACAATGCCTTTCTTTGAAATAAACTTTGCTGATCCTCAAAATAGTTTAACTTATCTGCAACAGCTATTGAGAAACACTCAAAACTGTGTCAACTGCTGCCTTTATCTCTTTCAACGCTGATTGATGTCTGGCATGTTGTGATACTTTCTAGATGCTCGAGGCTACCTCATGCTGTCGGACAGGTTCTGCTCAAGCGATGTCTTCATTTTGCAGGTCAGGCAGAAACAAGACCTGGGCGTGGTCTGACAAAATAAACAAAAACTGTTCTTGATCAAATTGCAAGGAAATTTACATTTTCACATATAAACTTCTCTTTTTTATTTGCAGACTCCAGTTATCTTTTTTTATATTAAAACTTATTACAATAGATGTTAATATAACAGATATCTCTATACGTTTTAATTAGATATAGCTTTTCTTTTTTCTTGTATTTGTTTTATGAATCAGACGCATTTCCTGTGCGCGTCCCCGCTGTGAAGAAGCATGTGACTGCGCGGCCCCGCGGCTCTCCCGGCGGCGGGCGGAGTTAGCGCGTGCCTTCAGGAGGCAACATTGTCTCGGCAAAAAGCACTTATCCAGCGTGGCACTAAATTTTCACAAGAACTAACCAAAGACTCAATTTTTAAGCAACGAAGAGTTTTATTTTTTGGACCAAGCCGACACGAAGGGAACTCTTATGTGACCAAACCAAGGATTTGCGGGTTAACTTCAGTAAAAAAAGTGACATTTTGGTTGATTTCTCAACGCGAGCGGGTCCGGTTTGACACCGATAGAGAGGCTTCACTCCAGCTCAGCCGTCCTGACATGGACACAGTGATCATACCTGAAAAGAAAAGGTAAATTTCGCAACTAGCTGATGCTCGCGTCTGGGACCAGTCGGGTTTTATGAGGATGCGTTGAGAGCGTTTTGTTTGGAGTCCATTTTACTGTCAGCCATGACATTATGGCCTCAATTTCAAGGTTAACGGCTGGTTTCCTCTCTTCATTCGTCTCGGTAGCAATGCTAACACGTTAGCATGGCGGCTTACATCTCCTTACCAGTAAAAGCTGTTGATTTTAAACAGCTTATCGCCAATAGACTGTCATTTAAGAGTATCTGTAGTTCTCTCGATTAATCCAGTTTACATTTATTTCTGGTTTAAGTGTTTAATCTCTGTTTGATATATTCGTTGGAGCTAGCTTTTTATGATAGCTTTTTATTTGTTTCATTCAATAATCCATCTGTACAGGTGTTTGGGTTGATCTTCCAGGGAACAGCTGCCAAAGTCTGGAGCAGCGTTTGGGAATCTGCTGAAATGTTGTTTGATCAAATAAGTAGGAAAAAAAATGGCATTTGTTCGATGGTTTATTATTAGTCACCTGTACTGAAATAAAGTCGTTTAATGGATTACATCTGTAAAGTGCTTAAAGCCCATATAAGTGGCTGCTATTGGCCTGGATGGTGATCACGGCCGTGTAGCGGGTGAAGCTTCCCGATATAAGTGAAGTAGTTTCCGATTAATGATCAATGGAAGAGGTTAAAACCACCGGGATCACTTCTAACTGCTCCTAAAGATTTTGGATAAACTTTCTGCCTTTTTTTTTTCTTGGGTGTAAAATCGTGAAATTATCTACTATTATCTGTATATAAACACAGTCACTATCTAAACCAGGCAGTTTGAATCTTTCGTTTTTCATAGTGTTTTAATGTGTGTGAATATATTTGCATATCTTTGTTTTGTGCATATTTATATAAAGAGAGATTAAGTTAGGTATAGCCTGGTAAAAGGCATTGATGCAGTATTGTCATACTTTTTTTTATTTTTTATGTTTTGATTAAATCCCTCAAAACTAATGAACCCCACTGTTTGTTTATTGAATTAAAACAGCTTGTATATTGCTTTATTTCTTCATATTTAAAAAAAAAAATCTGTGAAAATATATGTATTTATTCTGTAATGCATAAATGTAGCATATTAAATCTCAGACTTCTGTCTTTCTTAAAAAAAAAACATTCAACACCGTATTCCCTTTAGGGTTGGGAATTGATAAGATTTTCATGATTCCGATTCCCTTATCGGTTCTGTGAAACAATTTGATTCCTTATCGATTCCGTTTAATTAAAAAGCTTTATTGTACAATTTCTGGAAATAAACTCATCTCCCCCTAATTTAAATTAAGGAGCGTCACCTTTCTCTCACTCCCTGAACTGCGGAGCAACTTCGTAGCATCTTTTGTTATATCCATTGCAATAGCTAGAATCATGTCAGAATACCAGCTACCAATAGTTCTAATTAATTAGCTGGATTAACGTAAGAGGCGCTCTAACTTAATAACACTAAAGAGAAGTAGGAAATTGGTTTATTTGCAGAAATGATATATGATTTGATAGGAACCACATTAAGCACAGCCAGTGATTTAAAAAAAAAATAGCTACAGCAGAGTTGCCTTCCATGCTGGTCGTAACTTTAGCTTCTGTTCGTAAGCATAAAAAACACAGCATTTGCTTTAATGTATGCCATGTTGTGTGCGCAGGTGTTTCTGCATGTTGGATGTATTTCCTCCCGCGGATGTAATTGCCACTTTGCAACGATTGCAAAGCACCTTGTTGCCATCTTTCTCTTCCATAAAATGAAGCCAAACTTTCGATGGGGTGCCTTTTTTTTTTTTGTTGCTTTTCTAGACCTACGCCGGGTCACGTCGTACTTGCTTACTGAATGCCGTGTGCATAACTTGCGTAAAAAAAAAAACGTGACGCAAGTCGTGCTGCCCAGAGCTAGGCTCTGGTGCTGCCTGGAATCGATAAGAGAATTGTTAAGCAAATGGTGCCATGGAATTGGAACACATGGAACCGGTTCTTAACAGGAACCGGTTTTTGATTCCCATCCCTAATTCCCTCTCTTGTTAGTTCTCTAAATTAAATATTAATATATGTAATTTGGATCTCAATGGTTTTTTGGAATTTCTTGCCAGTAAGGAAAAGCCCAGTTTGTGAATAGTCAAAAAATAGTTGGAAAATCTAGATAGATGTGTGGTTTTGAAAAAAGCACAAGAAGTCAAGTGTATTTTTTACATACATTAGACTTTAAGAAGGTGTTTTGGAGCATTGAAATATAAGTAAAGTTATAAAACAGCCACACTTTCCAAACACTTTTAGGCTAAATAAATGCTTCTAATAAATCAGTTATAATTTATTTTTACACTGTGTCTAATGACAGTTTGTTGGACTCAATTTGACGATGTTGATTTAAACTGTCCTTTTGCTAGAGCACAGTTCCAGGGCGTTTCTGAAATAAGAAAAGTGTAATTCAGTTTAATCGGACAGATGTCTTCTTCAAATCCATCAGTTACCGTTTTGATTAAATTGAGTTTTTCACTGGATGCAAACATTCTTTCAAACTTTAGCACAAACACTGGAACCAAGTACTGTGCAAGTCCAACTGTAAAGAGAGGAGCTGTTTTCTCAAGTTATAAGCCAAGCCCAGTAACCTAGATGTAACTGGAGCTAACCTGCATTGGTTTTGTAGACATGCTTCAATGAATAGTCGGGCTATACTCACTGTAAAAATGACAAACCTGTCTGTGCAAGCTAGAACTATGCAAACACCTTAACCCTTTGTTTTTTTTTGTGCTTTTTGTGCTGAATTTATTAGATAGGGTGACACATCTAATGCATTAGTTTTACATTAAAGATGTTGAATGTCCACAGCCTGCTATGTCTTTCAGCCAAAATAGGTTGTTGAGGTTTTAGAAGTGGTGAAATCTGTGGCGACAGGCTACCTAAGCAGCATCGATCTGCTGTAGAAAAAAATCAGAGGTGGCTATTACGCTAAAATTCAGACTCCTAGTAGTCATAGAAGTAATGTTGAGGCCAAAATAAATTTCTTGTGGTTTTGAAAGCTTGAAAGGTTTTTGATGATGTGCATTAACCAGTTGAATTGCAGAGTTATGTTCAGTAACAAAACTCTGAAACAATTGAAATTTCCACCTAAAAGTCTTTGTAAAAATATTTCAAACATAATGAAATCAATATATAGACATATTAAAGCTCAGCCTCCCAGATCCTTTACTTTATTCCAACTGTTGCATTTATTCTGTCAACCTGGATGAGCGGCCATGGGTGCCTGCCGCTCTCTGGACTTGAAATTTGAGCCTCTGTTTAGGTGAACACGATCTTTGATTACAATAAATATGCTTTCGGCACGGCCCGCTGTTTCAGGCCGCTTTGGTTTAGTGTTAGCTGGTTTCTTCGTCGTGTCTTGATAATTCTCATCTCATCCCTTAATCACTGGGGCATGACGTCAATGGGAGGGGCCACATGTGTGGTGGTGCTCTGCTTGGCAATTAGCAGGTTGCTCAGAGGCATCCAGGCAGCAGACGAGTTGGAACATGAAGTAGAAACAGACTAGTTGTGGGTGCAGAGCACAGATTCATTGTGGTTTGTGTTCTGAACGACAGGCGAATGACCTACTTTTTTTTTTGAACACATTACAGTCAATTATGGTAGAAATATACAAAAGACAACCAATGTGGATTTCTTGGGTTCCCACTAAGAGCTCAGACTGTAGATCACTAATAATTTTATGGGATAAAAAAGGCTAAAAGACAATAACAGGTAAACATCAGCTCTGTTTAAAGTGGGTAATGCTCCATAAACGTTTGCCCCCCCGCTCTGTGATAAATTAAGCAGACTGGAAATCATTTTCTGAATGTCTCAAACAATGAAAGGAAGGATGCATGGTGAAATAGAGCAGCGCATCTTGTCCTCCAATTGCTGGACATCGGTTGGGAATCATTTAACGATAATTTTGCTTTTCCTTCCTCACATTGATGAGTTAAACAGTTTGTTTCAGTCAAGCGTCACGATTTTGTCCTTGTGTCCGTTGTCTACCCAAACCTCTTCAGTGACCTTACAGATTTAGCTACCATCGAATAAAGAGTTGAAAGGAAGTGATGATGTCCCAGCTTACAGTCAAATTCTTTAGATCCCACAGTCGGTTTTCATTTGGTTGAAAATGAAAGTTTTTGGGTGACGACATGTTGAGAGCTGGAAGGAAATGTTTCTTCACTTTGAGGTTGATTTGTACAGTAGGAGTGATCAACTGAAAGCTTTTAATCTTAGCTTGTTGAGGGATTCATAATATAGCTCACTATTAGTTTTTATCTTTCGGCTTAAACTTTGCTTAAACCGCAGCTGGATTTTTTTCTTTTGATGTATACTTAAACGTCGCATTTTATTAATCAGACAATCATTTGTTAACTCACTTCAACTATTAGTCTCTAAATCATTTTGTTTTAAAACAGACTGGGATTTATTTTGAAATACGAAGTAGCATCAAGTGCCAAACTTTCCAAACACACATCAGTTTGAGGTTAAAATGTAAGTAAAACTTTTATTTTGTTTGTAAAGAACGTTATCGTATGCTAAACTTTAATAAAAAACTCCAGAAGACAACACGTTTAGTTTAATTTCAAAGATCTATGTTTATTGGAGCTTAAACATGGAAACAAATTTCCTGGTCAAAAGCAGACAGGTTTTTCTGTTTGTTTTAGAAGAGCAGCTGCATTCTTGGCTTTATATTGGAAAAAGTTCACGAGGAGATGACTCTCAACTCTAAGGAGTCCTGATCTGTATTTGTTGTTCATGCAGAAAAGGTCTTGTGGCACAGGTATAAGGATCCAAATGGAAACAGGGCATCAATTGCTGCTTTTGACAATGCTGCGTACTCTGTTGCTACTGACAACCAATAAGCTTCCAGCACACATTTGGAGAAAGTAGTCTGTATCGTGCGATCAGAGGAGATATTGAGCAGGGTGTCCTGCAGCTTTGATGAGACGTGATGCGCAGAGAAGGTGG